TTTTTTTGGGTAGAGGCAGACAATTTTGCAGCTCCAATCCTAATACTCGCTCTGTATCCCAATCCTTCTTTGGCCTCAGCCAGCAACAATATGTGTCCTCGCATGTCATTCACTTTGACAAACGTTCTCACTGAGGAACACTCACTCCCGCCTCTCCTTCTGTCCTTGGCATTACGAAGTTGCCCAGACCACTCTCGTTATCCCACTTAACATTGTTATATTGTCATGTCAATACTCGTACTCAATGATGATTCTCCTATTGTGTTCACACATAACAGGAACACTGATGGCAGGCGTTTTGATTGGAAGCCGCATGACACACTTTAAGCCCCTCGATTCGCTTTTTTAAGTGAGTTGTCAGGGCTTTTTCCTACCCACCCCGTAACAAAGAGGCTCCCTAAATTTATCACGCTAGACAAACCCCTTTAAGTTAATTACTCGGCACCAAGGACAACAACACTGATGTGCTGACACGAAAAGTTGTGGACAGGGCCGAGAGGCTGGGAAGCCCGGGGTAGTCGCTGTCTCAGCCAGAGCATCTCTGTGAGAGTGCTGCAGCACTCAGCGGGCAAAGAGCAGAAGGGGGAGAAAAAGAGAGGGCAGGCCTGCTTACAAAGGGTAAAGAAAACACTGCTGAAAGAACTGCAAAACCACTGGGTTACTATTAAGAATCAGTGTATTTAAAGTCCATCTTGTCAATCCCAACCCCCTCGTGGCAGGCTGGTGAAAACCTGTTTAGTCTTTTTGTGCAAAGGCTAATCAGGCTTGACTGGAATGGGCTGACATTCCTGACGCACTCAATATGGATAAAGGGAGATAAAATAAATTCTCATTAACGAGAGGAGAAGATGAATTCTGTAGTGGCCTCTTTTTCCCTTTTTTTTGTAGCCCACTTCAATCATAATAGGTCCCCTCAAGCTAACTAACTCAGCTGAAACCCAAGAAATTGCTAAAACAACAAGAAATGTGCATAATCGTAGCTTCATGAAACATTTTTACATGCATTTTGTGTATATGTTCGAAATATTAGGACTTAACTAAAAGGGCCGCAGGTGCGTTTTATTCATCAGTGACTTATTCAGGATCAAGGCCAGGCAGGGCAAGCACAGGCATCTTTCAGACAGTGATTAGAGAGGGCCTTTTATGTGCTTTTAGTACTTTATGATCTACCCATTAGAATACTTTGCTGTTTTAATCCTGAAAATGAAAGGCTTGAAGAACATCTGTGCAGTGTGCCTTGCAGACCTACCCAGATCTCCTTGAACACTGTTGTCATGAGAGGTCCTGCTGGACGTGGTGGAGTCCCCATCACTGGGCCAGATCTGGCCCGTTTTACGGAGCCCGATGACAGAGGCCTCAGACACCATCACCTGCTGCTTTAGACGTTTCTGAGACAGGGGTGTGGGTGGGCTGCTGCTCTCAAAGGACTGCTGGGAATGCTGGGAAGGTGAGCGACTTTTCTCCCTGTACATCTGATAGGCGGTGGGGCTGGGAGACACGTGGCTGGACTGGCCCGAGGAGAAGTCCTCCTCGCTGGATGTTAAGTTCTCGTTGGAGCTGCAGTCTGGTGTGTACCCTCCTCCTACGTCGTCAAAGCTGCCGGGAGAATAGGAGCGCCTCGGCCAGGTGAGGTGTGCATCCTCCTCTAGGCTGTGGTCCCTAATGTGGATGACTCGAGTGTCCCCGTCAGCCATCATTCCTCCAACATACACACTAGTGTAAGGCTGGCACTCAGCCTTTCCCCCAGTGGAACGGATCACACCGTCTTTCAGTAAGTGTGGGATGACCTCAGCATCATCATATGACCCGTTGTAGCTGCAGTTCCCCTCAGTGGATCTGCCTCTCTGAACAGCATGGCTGATGTCCCCCGTGGCGGCAGACAGGTTCCCTGGGAGCGAGTGCAGGGATCTCTTACGCTCCATCTGCATGGCCTGAGAGCCCAGGGTGCTGATCTTGTCTGACACCTCCCTGTCGTTGACTTTGACCAGCCCTCGCTCGTGATGGTACTCCATGTTCACATAGAAAGGTTTGTCCTGGCCGCCCATCACTGACAACCCTCTGCCATCTCCGGCTGTATGAGAGTTGGCTCTCCTGATGCGCTCAAAGTTGGATCTCAGAGCTGCTACCGAGCCTGTGCCCAGCGGAAAATCAGGAATCTCTGACTCCTGGCGGACGGATGACACCCCACCCACCTCTCCTTCTGGAAGTGGTTTACACCTGGCTGTCTTGCCAGGCGCTCTCTTTTGCTGCTCTTCCACTGGTGCCTCATCAACATGGGACTTCTGGCAGTCTTGCCCAGTGGACAGGTCTCCAGCATTCATCTGGGGTGTCCTTTTAAATCCCCATCGCTGGCCATCATAAGACTTCCTCTCTTTTGCAAGCAGAGTCTGCAGGTAGATCATCCGGAAGCGCTCCTTGTTTACTTCCTTCTCCAAGTGCCTGATAGATGCCTTGCATTTGTCCAGCTCCTGTTCAATGTCCCCCATTGAATTCATCTCCATGCAAGGGGGATCAGACTCAGGGAACTGGGCTCTCCATGCCTCCACAAATCCAACCGGTTCAACCATTGTTATTACTGTGATAGAAACTATTCAATCAACTAACAACACAATCATATACATTCCTAAAGCATGAACTGGACCTAACTCTTTACAACTTAAAACTTGCATAGTGCTATAACAGAGGAAGGAAGGATCCACTCCAGAGGAAGGAAGGATCCACTTTACAGGGAAGATAACCTGTTCAGTTTAATACTCACAAAACACAGGAATAAAATCCTACAGAAGCAAGATCACTGGTCGAGTCTCTTTACTCCTGTTGACATAGTCCAAGAAATGCGAGGTTATCCTAATTCTCGCACTTGATCCCTTCTTGTGCTCGTCTATTCTCTGGAGATCCTCTGTCCTTGGTGTCAGACTGACTCGAAGCTCTTTCGTGTTTTGGCTCTCCGTCAGCGTTACAGTTGCAGCAGAAAGAGGAGGGGCTACATGGATGTGATTTACTCCAAATCCTTTTTTTTAAAGGGATGATTCTCAAAATGCAGTTTCTAATCGAAAACGGAGTTTCCAGGTAAAGCTGATTACGACAACTGTCAAATTCACCAGAACATATTTCCCGAGGAAAACCGCTGCCAGCAAAGTTAGAAGACGGTCTGATAAGGGAGATAAACCGACCCTTTAAAGGCAGAAAACGTCCCACGTTGTGGCGAGAAGGGCTTTGTGCAGGAAAGTGTTGTCTTGTGGCCGTTATAGTTTAGGTGGATGAAGAAAAACGAGGTCCCGTCTTTCAAACCCTCTTTCCTTTGTTGGTTGTTCAAATTCAGCCTTGATTTTTACCCCCCTTAAGATAAGAAATCAACTACCCTAATAGCCTATGTCCCCCTGTCCAGCCTTAGGTCTCCAGATATGTGCCTTTCTGACAAAGCACACTTGTCCTTTCAGTGAACGTTATGCTCTGGACACTACCAACCTTCCTACCAAAGTTCATTGTGTTGCAATCAACCTGAAGCCGTTCCTTGTGAAAACATCGCCATCTGACGGTTCAAAAGTTCAGACTGACAGTGGGATAAGTTCATACATCTCCTTTCAACTCGGGTCACTAACTTACATGATTTGTGCGCAGTTCAGATAAATGGCCCTAGACGTGTTAATGCTGCAGTTTATAAGCGAATAGCTGTTTTTACCATTGTTCATTTTTTTTGCATTAAATGCGACGCGATGCTACATAAATGTCACTTCACATTAAAGAGGATGAGCAGTTCGCATCCATCAACCAAGCAGTAAGTACTTTTAGTTTATTTTTAGCGGGTAGGTATTGAACATGCTTTAATCCTTAAGATATTTAAATTCAGGGGAAATACTTTTTAGATGCGGGGAAATAATATGTAAGCTAGCAGTCATTAAAAGTTAGCGTTATAACAAGTTAATTCTAACTACACACAACGGCAGGTCAGGGGTGTTTGTTGTAGTAAGCACTATTTTTTCCATGACCAACGTTATGAGTTTTCAGCAATTTTGTACTCACAGGTGTGTACATGCCTGTCTGAGCCAGAGGTAATTTGCGCACTTATAGCGCAACACAACGGTCTTAAAAATGTCAAAGCTACTTCCTGTTAGCAACCAACTCGCGTTTGATACGGTTTCCATGGGGCTCTTAAACAGCTGCTGCATTTCTCTCCGCTAACTAGCAACTGAGGAATTAACACGACGAACTAACAACTTTACCGGGCATGTGTCTTTATCATTTGTAAACAGTTGCTAGCCACAGTCACTAGCAAGTCGGGCTGGTTGTTTTTATTAAAGGTTTCTTTGCAGGTTGGATTGGGGAGCTAATGTTAGTTAGCTTAACGTTAGCTGGCTAAACCAAGCAAATAAGACGACTCATTAACTGAACGTTAGAGCAAGCACGTTTCGTTCAAGATGAGTGAGCAGCTGAAATTCATCGTTGAACAACTTAACAAGGACCCGTTCAAGAAAAACTTTAACCTCATCACGTTTGACTCCCTCGAACCGATGCAGCTGCTGCAGATTTTAAACGATGTTCTGGCTGAAATAGACCCAAAGGTGGGACACTATCTCCAAGGACTGTACAGACTTCTGTTACTTGTGTCAGTGCAAAATGTTGTATAATGTCAGCCTGGGTCTGGCATTCATGAGATAATCTGAACTAACGCAATATACGGCCCCTCTTGTCTTTAGCAAGCTATAGATATCCGTGAAGAAATGCCTGAACAAACCATAAAGAGGATGTGTGCTCTGCTGGGGATGCTGAAATACAAACCTCCGGGCAACCCCTCTGATGTGTAAGTAATGACATTCCATGAGAATTGAAACATGTCTATTCCTAGGGATATTCTCATCATGTGCTCCTTCCCTCATGCAGAAGCAACTTTAGACAAGGTTTGGTGATTGGCAGCAAGCCCGTGGTCCACCCTATCCTCCACTGGCTGCTACAGAGGGTCCCTGAACTAAAGAAAAGGGCTTATTTAGCTCGCTTTCTTGTCAAACTGGAGGTGCCTGCAGAGTTTCTGCAGGATGACATTATCAATGACACCTATCACCAGGTTGCCAATATATCATAAACATTTAATTTCCTAGTTTTTTAGCCAGTAATCCAAAAGACAAGAGAGGCTATGCACTAATGTTGTGTGTTCACAGTATGAAGAGCTGGTGGAAGGTTTTAAGACGTATCACAAAGAGTGTGAGCAGCTGAGGACGTCAGGCTTCTCCACATCAGAAATCAGAAGGGTGAAAAACACTCAATGACTCTTTATAATCCCTTTTTGTTAGACGTTATTGATGATAAGCGTTGCTCAGCATAGCCTGTCACTATACCTATGCCTGTCACACATGTCACTACATTATAATTCAACTTATCAAGCTTAGCTGATGTAATTCAGTAAGGTATTGCCCCTTTTCTCCAATAACAGGACATCAGTGCAATGGAGGAAGAGAAAGACCAACTAATCAAACGTGTGGAGAGGCTGAAGAAGAGGGTAAGGCAAACTGTTCCGAGAGGCTGCATCTCTCTTCTAATCCTTGGAAGGCTTTAGGATTCACTGAGGAATGACAACATGACCCCAGACATAAATGATCAGCTTCTATAAAAGACCTGACAGGGATCTGACAGGCTGTGAGGCTGTCTTAGCAAGGCGGTGAAGTAATGAGGTGTTGATTTAATAGGTCTCCCGCCAAAAGGTGAAACCTGACTCTGTTTGAGGTGCTTGGTTATTTCTGCTTACCATGTGATAACCTGCAATCTGAAGTCGTCGTATTAACTTGTTGATCCTCCACTAGGTGGAGTCAGTGTCTAACCATCAACGGATGCTGGAACAGGCCAGACAGCTGCGAGTGGAGAAGGAGAGAGAGGAGTCACTGACTCACCAGAAGCAAGAACAAAAGAACCAAGTAAATGCTTGTTGTTAATTGTGGTTTATCGTCATGTTTGTTCACCTTGGTATAATTTCATAAGACATCATCAACCATCATTAACAGATGCTGTCTGCTGGGCTTTTTGAAAAGAAAAATGAACCTGTAGAATCTCAGGTGTTTTTCCGCTGTTTTTTTCTTCTCAGTTTATAGGCTTACTATTATGCCCTAAGACTTTTCAACACCTCACACTATTTTTTGGCCCTTGTTTCTTGTTTGATATTAGGGCTAAAACAATGAGTCAATTCATCGATTAATTGATCAACAGAAAAAGCAGCTATTTTGATATCAATTAATAATTTCAATGACTTTTCAAGCACGAATAGTGAAACATTTTCAAACATTCTCTTGTTTCAGAGGATGATAATTTAAGAGGATGTGTTGCTTTTCTCTGTTTTATAAAATTGTAAACCGAAAATCTTTGGGTTGTGGCCTGTTGGTCAGACAAAACCAGACATTTAAGGACACCACCTTGGTCTGTGAGAAGTTGCAATGGGCATTTTTTTACTATTTTATCACTATTACTTAGTAATCTGCAGACTAATGGATAATTGAGATAATCTTTTGTAAAGTTGCTGCCTTGTTTCATGTAGACATCAACAACAGAAAAGTTTCAAATAATTAATTTTCATCCTTCTGCAAGCTTTGGTTTATAAATGTAAAAATATTCTACAAACATTTTTCAAGAGATTAGAAAGTTGCAGAAGAATCAGATTGGTGTGAACAGTGTGACCAGACGGCTTTCAGCTCAGTCACTTGTCAGAAAATTAATTGGCAACTATTTTGACAATCACTTCATCACTTTGTCATTTTTATGACCAAATTGCTTTTTTCTTAGTCTTCTGTGATAGTAAATTGAATAGCTTTGGGACAAAACAAGTATTTTAAAAATGTAATCTTGTACGCCAGGAAAACGTGATGTGCATTGTTCACTATTTTCCAAACAATTAATGTGCTAATCAAGAATATGATTTGAAGGTTAATCACAAATGAAAATAGTTGAACAAACAAATTATCAGTGGTAATGGCAAAACTCCCACATTACCTGTATTAGTAATCATTTTTGTGTGTTCAGCTGTTCCAGGCAGAGCAGAGACTGCAGAGATCACAGCAGCAGTTGAAGGATTTGCGACAGGCAGCAGCAGATGCCAATCCAGAAAGTGAGTGTCCTGCTGTTGCCTTTGCAGGACACAGCTGGATGGGTAGCTCAAGGACACAGCAGAGCATTAGAGGGTCTCTTAGCTAATAGGCTTTCATCTGTTGAGACCATCTAATTATACTTTGATCTTTGAAGTACCATAATAAGGCTTATCTGATGTTCAAATTGTCCCCTTTTGTTCTCATCTCGTATCGGGCTCTTCAGCCAGAGGAGAGATTTACACGTTTGCAGTTTCTAATATGACCTAAAATTAAGGTGGAGCTGCACAATTGGGGTCTGCATTAGCTCAGTCCATGGGGACTTGGCTCTAGAACCAGAGGGTCCAGCACGGACCCCTAAATGGTGTTTAGGCACTGTACAACAGCCTGATTAGGATGGGTTAAAGGCAGAGAACAACAAATTTTATTAATGAAGTATAATAATAAAAAATTAAAGTCACTTATAACAATTACTCCAAAAAAGTACATTGAATGCTAATTGGGGCGCTACTGTTTAGTATAATTAATTGTCTTTTAACAATTACATTTCAAAAGATTTACACAAGTGATGTAGTGGTGTGTCTTTCATATGCTTAGTGAATTTGCATGAGTAAGTGATACTCAGCTTTTCTTAAGTAATCAGAGCTGTAGAGGTTTCAAACGCATTATGCTCAAAGTGCTTAATTTAAAAGTTCTGTCTCTTTCAGGCTTAATGAAAAGGCTTGAAGAGGAGATCAAGATCAACTCCTACATGGTTTCTGAGAAACTCCCCAAAGAGCTGGAGAGTATGAGGCGTACAGTGCAGCACCTGCAGAAAATAGCGTCAGAGCCTGCCATGGGCCAGGCTGATCTCCAGGAGCTGGAGGACAAGGTCTGTTAAGTCTGTGCACCTCCATGCACTGCAAAATTCACCAATGTGTCAGTCTCTTGAGTGTTCTGCACTTGTCCCTTTCACAGATTAAAGAAGTTGATTCTCAGATAAACCAGCTGATTGAGAAGAAGATGATGAGAAATGACCCAATGGATGACAAACTCACCCTTTACAGGCAACAGGTGTTGACTTTATTGAATTTCTTTGATGTCCTTCAAGTTTTTTGTCTATTTTGTCCTGAGTGAGCTGGACTTTTTGGGTGCGGACTGCGATGCTGTGTGACGTAGAAGGTGCCCTGTGGAGTTTACTTCTGAGCAAACAAAAGTTATGTTTACATTCAGTAATACTCCCCTAAGCCCATTGTGTTGTCCTTGAACTCCAACAGGTGTGCTCCATGGCATTTCCTTGATCATAAAACATTTGAAAAGCATTGTTTAAATCCATGTGGGGTGGCATGTTGCAGCATATCTTGGGAGTGTTACCGGCACCTGTAGATCAGTGGATTAGTGTGAAACCATTGGCAGGACTTTGTATCGCCTCACCTCATGCGCGTGATAAACATGGGGGATCCACTCGTACAAAAACAGCTCCATCG